GTTTTTTGTGTGTTTATATCGGGGGTGTGTGTGTGTGTGTGTGTGTGTGTGTGTGTGTATTCGGATGTGTGTGTGTGTGTGTATTAATTGGGTGTGTGTGTATATTAATCGGGTGTGTGTGTGTGTGTGTTCAGGGCGGAGAAGGAGTGGGGTGATGGGATCAGAGGTCTGTCTCTCAGCGCGGCTCGGTTCGCTCTGCTCCGGCTGGAGGAAGGTCCACCGCACACAAAGAACTGGAGGTACAAACACACACTCATCTGTGACCGTCACAATTATAAAACACCTGCTGAGCCTGATACACACACACACACATTTTGTTTTTTACAATTTTTATAGCTTTTTTTTTTTCAGTACCGAAAGTGATATAGCAATTAATACTAATTCAAAACAGTAAAAAGAAAATGAAATAAATATAAAATGTAATTATAATTCAGGCCCCAGCTGCTGGTGTTATTGAAGCTGGATGAAGACGCTCACGTCAAATCTCCGCGTCTGCTGACGTTCGCCTCTCAGCTCAAAGCGGGGAAGGGTTTGACCATCGTGGGAACCGTCATCCCGGGAAACTTCTTGCAGACCTACGGCGAGGCTCTGGCGGCCGAGCAGGTCTGTTTCGCTCGTTTAGTACAGATCATGAGACACGTCTCTCTGTGTGTCTTCATCACCAAACGTCTCTCTCTCTGTGTGTGTGTCAGACGCTCAAGCATCTGATGGAGAAGGAGCGCGTGAAGGGCTTCGTCCAGTGCATCGTGACGCAGAAGCCGCGCGAGGGCATCAGTCACATGATCCAGTCCAGCGGTTTGGGCGGCATGCGGCACAACACTGTGGTCATGGGCTGGCCGGACGCCTGGAGACAGAGCGAAGACCCGCAGAGCTGGAAGACCTTCATCAGTGAGTCACACAGAAACTAATGGCTTTCCGTCCTTTATTCAGACACACGTCGTTCCACAAGAAAACAGCTTACAACTGGATGGTGATTTATATCAGTAAACTCCCAAATTAACATAAAAACACCATAAAGTAATTCAAGTGACTAAACATGGACAGATAATCAGTTTACTTGATTGATTATTTTATGGATGTTCACAATTTTCTCATGTAGACAGTAAAATTGTGACCATTGAAACCAATGCAGAATCACTTAATATGCATGAATATAATGACTTGCACAGTATTTAAATATTTATCATGCAAATTATGTTTTTATTTTTGTAGTCAAGTTATATCACTGCAGAGAGTGCGCTTTCAGTCTGACTTCTCTTAAACGTGCGTAAATTACGTATAAATATATTGTCTTGCATGAATTTATTTTACAACAATACAAAGAGCAGTGCGTGACATTTTCACCAGATTTAGTCCTACACTTATTCACTTTTATTTTTCAATAAATGTTTAGATTTTATAAATTTTTGTGCACTCATGACTTTTCTAGAGCCACTGCTGAATTATCCACTAGCCTAGTTTATAAGTGTTTTTGTCACAGATGATGATATATTTTATTAATTTGTAAGTTTTCTGTATTTAGTAGATTGTGTTTAACACACAAAACAGTGATAATCAGGTCAACACAAATCTTTACCATTTTAATTTAATTTTACTTTAATTTAAATTATTTAGAAATTTTATTTTACTTAAAAAATAACAATAAAATATATATATATATAATATTTTATTTTTTTATTTCTGTTTCAGTTTTAGTTATTTTAGTACTTCAAGTTAAACTAAACAAGAATTGTAAATATTTCAATTTCATTCAATTTCATGGAATGATAACGGTTTTGGCTTTAATGAAGGATAATAGCCCGGATCGCTCAGACTCAAAAGAGTGATTGATGTGTAAATGAACGATGTTCATTAATGTGACTCTATCAGACTGAGCGCTGACGGCGGTCTCTCTGTTGATTCAGACACGGTCCGCGTCACCACCACGGCTCATCTGGCTCTGCTGGTGCCCAAGAACATCTCTCTGTTCCCCAGCAACAGCGAGCCGTGTGCAGACGGCTTCATCGACGTGTGGTGGATCGTGCACGACGGCGGGATGCTGATGCTGCTGCCCTTCCTGCTGCGCCAGCACAAGGTGTGTGTGAGGCGCGTCTCTCCGCCCGCTGTGCTAGCGCTAACGCTAACGCTGTGTGCTGTCTCAGGTGTGGCGGAAGTGCTCCATGCGGATCTTCACCGTGGCTCAGATGGAAGACAACTCCATCCAGATGAAGAAGGATCTGGCCACGTTCCTCTATCACCTGCGCATCGATGCCTACGTGGAGGTCGTGGAGATGGTAAATAACCTTCTGTTATTTCACACGAGCGCCAAAGACACTCTCCAATCCTGTTATGATCCTTAATCTGATCCTGATCATCCACATGGCTGCTGTTATCATCCTGCTAACGCTCACAGATTAGCCTCCTCACGGGTTCATCCTGTCCTCAGCTATAAATACCCATAAAAAATAATAAATAGGTCATGAAAAAAAAATGTGTTATATATGTAACATATATTTTTTTTATTTCAGTTAGTTGCCAAGGCAACATTTCTCATTTTAAATTAACTTGACGTACTAAAATAACTAAAACTTAAATAAAAATGTATAAAAGCTATGTAGACATTTATTTCAAATTTTAAAATATATATATATATAATAAAAGTGGCAAAAACATGCAACAACGTTGCTAAAACTTTCACTAAAATTAACATGAAAACTGAAAATATAAATAAAAAAACTAAAAATAAAGAAATTCACTTAAATTAAATACTTGGATGACAAGCTTAAACTAAAAAAAAACATAAAATTAGAAATCTTACCTTGGCAATGAACTGAAATAAGTTCAAGTTAAATGAATAAAGTTACTTAAACTGAAGAAAATAAATAAACTAAAGCTAAATATAAATAATGTAAACAAAGGCTAATAAAAATAGCAAAAGTACATCATAAAATTCCTGAAACTAAAATTAAAATGAAAACAGAAAATATAAAAATAAAAACTAATTCAGAATATTAATAAAAACTAAAACAACACTTGTTCTCGTTAACTTAAGATATTGTGTATTGTTTTCAGTAAGTTAAATTAAAATTCAAAAAATCTATTGTAAATGAAATTAGATAAAACTAATTAACTAAAACAACTTAACTGGACATTAGAAATGTTGCCTTGGCAACTAACTGAAATAAGTTTAAGTTAAAGGACTAACATTACTAAAATTGAAAAGAAAAAAAAAATTAAAGCTAAATAGAAATATAAAAAAATTAATATAAACAAAAAACGAATAAAAATGACAACGGCACGTAATAAAATGACTCAAATCTAAATGAAAATGGAAAATCTAAAAGTTAAAGGTAATTTAAAATATGATTAAATACTGTAATACCGGAAGATCCAGTTGTGACATTTTTATTAAAAATAATTTTTTTTTTTTAAATGAAGCAAATGCACGGATTAATTGTTCACGATAGGCTCTCTCTCTCTCTCGCACACACACACACACACACACACACACACACACACACACACACACACACTCACACACACTCTCACGCACACACACACTCACTCCGCGGGTGTTCCCCTGTCTAATGATGTCATTTCCTGTGGTCGTCAGGACACTGTCGTTTCTCGGCATGACGATCTGTTTGGCTCTCATGTTCATTTCCTCCTGGTACTATGCCATCGTCGCCATGGTGATCGCCGGCATGATCTACAAGTACATCGAGTACCACGGGTACGTTGCCATGGGAGCCTGTGTGTGTGTAACACATTTTTATTTTGTTTTTATATAGTTTAGTTTCAGTTTTAATTAAAGGTTAGCAGAATTAACAGATCACTTCCAGAGCGCAGGCCAAAGAAAGACTTAAGACATAATTCAGCCTTAGTGATGCAAATGTCTATCTTTTTTATTTATTTATTTATTTATTATTTCGTCTCTGAAATCAGCGGAGCACATTTTGAAATAGGCGCTGTTTTTATAAATAAACCGCAGATTTGAGTTTTAAACAACTACATTCTCGCCTGAAATATTTTTAAAACTACATGTCATGACACAATAACAGTAATATTTATATATAAAAAACAAATTATGTGAATGGTGGTTGAACTACAATGCTGCGTGAACTCAACCAATCAGCATGTTCAGCGCTCAAGTCCCGCCCCCGAAAGTCCCGGACCTTTGAAAAAGTACTACCTCGCGAGCAGGGACTTTCTGAGGGGCAGATTTTTTTCCACTGCGGTGGAAACGGGGCTAAACTTTATATTTGCTTTTGTAGTGAAAACATTTCAAAATAAGAGTCCCGGTGCATTTTGGGCTTGTTTATAATTAAAAGTCAAGCATTGAGCATATAGTGTTTTTTTCTGAATATTATTGGTGCGTAGATTGGGCAGTGATTTTGGTCGTTAGTGTTGATGTGTGTGTGTGTGTGTGTGTGTTTCAGCATGACAGCGACATCAGCGCGTACACGTACGAGCGCACCCTGATGATGGAGCAGAGGTCACAGATGCTGCGGCAGATGCGCCTCTCGAAGTCCGACCGCGAGAAAGAGGTGAGTGTGCAGAGAAAGAGAGCGCTTCTACACGACACACACTCGCTCACCGCTCATTTCTTCTGTCTCTAGCGAGTGCGCTGGAGTTTTGATGACGTAAGTGCACACTTCACTCAAACCTAGTGCACTTCAGACGTAGACAGCGCTTCTGTAGCGTTTGAGCGTCCGTCTCTGGCTTTCTGTGCTTTAGAGAGACACTTTAGAGAGTCTGTGTTCGTGTTTAGTGAGTATCTGTGTCTGCATGTGTGTGTTACTGTACGTACAAATCCTCAGGAACTACAAAGAAGACGAAAAACTAACCAAAGGTAAAAATATAAAAAAAAAGTTTTGATAATTGAAGTAAAATCAATGAAACGTTGAAAAAACATATTTCATTTCTGCTAGATGCCAAAGCAACATTTCTCATTTTCTTTCAATTTTCGTTAAAGTATTAAAATTACTAAAACTATCAAGTTATATAAAAACTATAAAATAAAATATACAAAAACTGAAATCAAATTCGTAAAACGTAACAAAACGAATAGAAATTACTAAAACTGTAACTCAAATTAAAATGAAAACAAAATATAATAATAAACATTTATTTAATATATTTATATATTAATTAATTACGTGTGAAACTGTACTTAAATTAGACATAAAAGTTGAAGTACTAAAATTACTAAAACTGAAATAATAAAACTAAATAGATATTAAAAAGAAATATTATAAACGAAGACAAATGATAAAAGCACATAACAAAATTACTAATGCTGCGGCAGATGCGCCTCTCGAAGTCCGACCGCGAGAAAGAGGTGAGTGTGCAGAGAAAGAGAGCGCTTCTACACGACACACACTCGCTCACCGCTCATTTCTTCTGTCTCTAGCGAGTGCGCTGGAGTTTTGATGACGTAAGTGCACACTTCATTCAAACCTAGTGCACTTCAGACGTAGACAGCGCTTCTGTAGCGTTTGAGCGTCCGTCTCTGGCTTTCTGTGCTTTAGAGAGACACTTTAGAGAGTCTGTGTTCGTGTTTAGTGAGTATCTGTGTCTGCATGTGTGTGTTACTGTCCGTACAAATCCTCAGGAACTACAAAGAAGACGAAAAACTAACCAAAGGTAAAAATATATAAAAAAAAGTTTTGATAATTGAAGTAAAATCAATGAAACGTTGAAAAAACATATTTCATTTCTGCTAGATGCCAAAGCAACATTTCTCATTTTCTTTCAATTTTCGTTAAAGTATTAAAATTACAAAAACTATCAAGTTATATAAAAACTATAAAATAAAATATACAAAAACTGAAATCAAATTCGTAAAACGTAACAAAACGAATAGAAATTACTAAAACTGTAACTCAAATTAAAATGAAAACAAAATATAATAATAAACATTTATTTAATATATTTATATATTAATTAATTACGTGTGAAACTGTACTTAAATTAGACATAAAAGTTGAAGTACTAAAATTACTAAAACTGAAATAATAAAACTAAATAGATATTAAAAAGAAATATTATAAACGAAGACAAATGATAAAAGCACATAACAAAATTACTAAAATGAAAACTGAAAATATAAAAATAAGAGTTCATTTAAAATAATAATATGTACTATAATACCGGAATATCCAGCTATGACATTTTAATTAAATAATTAACATTTTGATTTAAAATAAATAATAATAATAATAGTACATTTTATTTGATGGCGCCTTTCACCCAAGGACACCTTACAAAACAGATTAACACAAGTCCAAACAAGTTATCAATAATACAATCAACAAATAACAAGGTGTTAAACTAATAGAAACAATAAACCATAATAAAAATAAAATAAATTATACAGAGTGTGCTAATCTGAACAGGTATGTTTTTAATCGTGATTTTAATTGACACAAAGAGTCATATTGACGAATGTGTGGAGGAAGAGAGTTCCAGAGACGCGGGGCGGAGCAGCTGAAGGATCTAGCTCCTATAGTAGTAACTCTAAATGTAGGTACTGTTAACATTGCAGTTTTTGAGGAACAAAGTGTTCGGGGAGGAGTATAGGGCCGAAGCAAGTCAGAGAGATATGTGGGGGCTAGGTTATGAAGCGCTTTGAAAGTTAACAAAATAGTTTTATAACTGATCCGGTGGGAAACAGGAAACCAGTGCAGCTGGATGAGGAGAGGTGTAATGTGGTCCGTTGATCTGGTGCGGGGTAATGATCCTAGCCACTTTGATTGGAGACGATGCAGACCTTTGAGGTGCCAGTGAGAAGGGCATTGCAGTAGTCTATACGGGAAGTGACCAGAGCATGGACAAGAACCTGTGTATTGTGCTGGGAGAGGAATGGACGTAGTCTGGAGATGTTGCGGAGGTGGAAATATGCAATACGAGTGATATTATTCATGTGAGGTCCTAAGGAAGTGCATTATCCATATGACACCGAGTCTTTTAACTTGAGAGGAGACAGGTATCGAAGAACCATCAACCGGTATGGTAACAGGATTAGTTTTGGAGAGTGTGGCCCTAGAGCCAATGAGGAGAACCTCACTTTAATTTCCATTGAGTTTGAGAAGGTTGAATGACATCCAGTTGCTGATAGCTTGTAGACAGGAAGTGAGAGCAGAGGGAGGAAGAGAAGTATTTGGTTTTGTAGAAGATGGAGTTGTGTATCATTGGCGTAGCAATGAAAATTGATCCCAAAATGACGGAGAATATTGCCCAGAGGTAAAATGTAAATGATAAAAAGCAGCGGTCCCAGCACTGAACCCTGAGGAACACCATGAGTAACTGTGGCAATTTTTGATGCAACATTTTTTCCCTGGATTAAATATTTTGTATTATGTAGATACGACCTGAACCAGGCTAGAGCATTATTAATGATCCCAATGGCAGCCAAACCTTCCAACAGGATTGAGTGGGAAATGGTGTCAAAAGCTGCGGATCAGAATGGATAAAAGGCCATTGTCAGCTGCAAGTAAAAGATCATTTGTAATTTTTACCAGCTATGATTCTGGCGAAACCTTGACTGAAAAGGTTCATATAGGTTATTGTTATGAAGGTGAACTTGAAGTTGAGTTGCTATAGTCCGTACTAAGAGTTTAGTAATGAATGGGATGTTGGAAATGGGACGGTAATTATTTGGGTCATTAGCATCCAAACCAGGTTTCTTAAGAACTGGGATAACAGAAGCCGTTTTGAGAGATGTAGAAACGGTGGCAGTAAGTATGGAAGAGTTGATTATAGACAAGCGTACAGGAGGTGTTCTTGGACTTGGAAGTTAATCTCATGATGTCTTCGACTAATGGAGGCTGAAAAGTGGATAAGGTGGAGAATGATGGGTTCAGTGTGGTAGTCCAGCGTATACAGTTAGATGTAGAAACTGAAGAATTCAGCTGTTGATGAATATTGTTAATTTTGGTACAAAAAAATAAAAAATTTAATTGTTACATTTTATAAAAAAAAAATATATAAAAACTATAACAAAATGTTTTATTCTACAATAAAAAAATGAATTAAATATATTACAAATGACAAAATTATATTTTAAACTGAAAATATAAAATTATATATATATTTTTTTTAATTAAATTATACCAGAAAACATTTGAATGAAAACTAATGAAATAAAGATGAGTATTCTCAGTGAGATCTGATTGGCCTCTGATGTAAGCAGCTGTTGTGTATGTAGCTCTGAGTGTGTTTAGTCTGTCTGTTCGGCGCGTCTGCAGGCGCAGCTGGTCAAAGACAGGAACTCAATGCTGCGTCTGACCAGCATCGGCTCGGACGAGGACGACGACACGGACGCTCCCGGCGCAGGAGACCGCAGCGCAGAGTACCGGCGAGTCCACATGACCTGGACCAAAGACAAGGCCCTGCAGCTGCGGAGCAACACACAAACACACACAGCCTCGTGCTGCAGCACTCCGGAGGGCTTCAGAGACATGCTCAACATCCGGCCGTGAGTCTCCTGCTCTCTCTGCTCACTGTGCGGCTCCATGAGTCCGCTTACTTCAATCTTTAAACCTTTTATGCATCACTCCTAAACTGCAGGAAGGAGCTCTGGTTACAAAAATGGCATGCGATAAACTATTAAAGTATTAAAACGTGCAATAAACTATTTCTAGTACTTTAAAATGCCAAAAGATTAGAATAAAACATGTAAAAAATTAATTATATTTTTAAATCATTTCTATATTATGTATAATATTAATTATAATTATAAAAAGTATATTATTATAATTAATAGAGTTCATAAAATGTCTATAGTATGATTGACAATTGCAGAAAGAAATGTTCTTTATAATTATAATAATAGTATAATAGTAAATATTTATATTTAATAAACAAATAAATATACCTGTTTATAATTTGAATTGTAATATTTTATTTTGACATATTTATAATATTTTTTATAACAAATAATATTATATTTTATTACATAATGACTGTAAATAATAATATAATTTATAAGTCTGTTATTATAATTAACATTATTTATGATAATATAAATGTCTAAGATAAGATTATTTAGTTGTAGTAATAAATATTTTAATTCTTATAATATAGTACATAACATTTTTATATTTAATGATGAAAATGGATATTTATTGAATTTATATTTATAAAACTATTTAATATTAGCATGCTTATGCTTCTTATTGTTATAAATATAATTATATTTGACTATTATAATTATAAATAATATTACAATATAATATAGTGTTTAAACATGCATTTATAATGTATTAAAATATAATCTATTTATTGATGAGTTGTTGATGTGGCTGGAGGTTTGTGCTCCATGTTCCTCGCGCCTGACGTGTGTCTGTTACAGAGATCAGTCCAACGTGCGGCGGATGCACACCGCTGTTAAACTCAACGAGGTGATCGTCAACAAATCCCATGATGCCCGGCTGGTGCTGCTCAACATGCCCGGGCCGCTTTTTTTACTTTTGATCATCAGTTGCTTATATCTATCTTTATGTGCAGGGATTGTGAATTTGTTTGTTTGTCATTTTTGAAATCTCAAGTGTTATCTGCTATTTTTATCACCTGAAGTAATAAAATGACAGTAATACATCTCTTTTAAAACGGCAAACATTGTGTTTTTTTCTTGGGTTTCCTTTCAGGGAATTCATTATAATCCCCAAAAAATGTTCTTAAATCATATTAATATTAATTAGTGAAATGCCATCCCATCTGAATGACCATTCATTTCTTCTGCTTATTAGAAATGGGGTCTTTCTAGCCCTCTAAAGTGTAATAATGTCTCGTATCTCGAAAACTGCAGTAAAATGGTTTCATATGAAGTGTGCATTTAGTATGAGACGTCCCCTATAAAACTGAGCATCGTGTTTTATACTTACTAGAAATTGCCCTCTGTTTCCTGAGAATCTTGCTGTAACAAATCTACATAAAACAAGGATTTGAAAGGTGATATTTAAAGAAAAATAGCCTATAGTAGGCTAACACACAACCATCAAAGGCACCAATAAATAACACGGATATTAAAGCAGAAGCACAAAAAAAAAAATCTTGAGAAATGTCTATCGCCTCAGTTGAAGTGTGAACCGGACATCTCTTCCTCTTTACTACTAGTTATAGCATGAAATTAACATGAATGAACGTTTGAGTTATGTTGTTTCAACCGCGGAGAGACGACAAAACATTATAGCCCACTGACGTTAATCTAAAGCTGCCTGAGACCGCTCCCTATCCCCTATGTAGTGCACTCAATTGTCACACACTGTAGGGATTAGTGAATGAGTGAGCGATTTCAGACACCGCTTATCTCTCCTGTTTGGGTTGTTTGTCGGACACGGCGGATTGGGCGTTATGATTGGTCAGATCGCCTGTCAATCAAACTCCCGGCGAAGGTTGAAATCCCGCCCCACATTCCAGAACCTGTTCCACTCGGATATACGTCACAGTAGGGAAGAAAAAAGACTATGGTGACTTCCGTTTCATGCTGACTTCAATGTCTCCTTAACCTTTTCACCTGATCCAGTTTCTGATAAACATTATCATTAACAGATGACTAATTTACACGTCATTAATAATACAGATGCAACACAGTGAAATACAATGTTTATATGCCTTACTATATCTCAAAATAGAATGTTATACATGTCTAACTTTAAAAGGATGCATCTTTTGTCTTTTGAGGAGATGGACAAGTCTTGCAGTAGTAGGTCAAAGTGACTAATAAACCTGCGTCTCTGACATTAATCAAACCACAAAAGAAACAGAAAACCACTCACTCGAACAAGTGAAGAATTTCACTGCTATCTTAAATTGTGGCATCCTAACAACTTAAAATTCAGCAACAAATGTTGATGTATTGTCATTGTGATATAAAGTTGGTCTCATTTGTTGATATATATATTTTCTTCTTAAGTTAATTAGATGAGTAAGAGCTGATTGAGCATTGGTATTGAGCACAAACACATTTTTTTAGTCAAACTGTGATAACTGAAGCTGGTAATGCTGTCCTACACTCTTAAAAATAAAGGTGCTTCACGATGCCACAGAAGAACCTTTTTGTCTAAATGGCTCCATAAAGAACCTTCAACACCTGAAGAACCTTTGTTTCACAAAAGCTTCTTTGTTGGCGAAAGAAGGTTCTTCAGATTATAAAAAGCTAAGAAAGAGAATATATTCTGTAAAATATTCTGCTAATGAATACTCTGCACCTTTAACCTCTGTTTGCATTTGACCATTTATTCATATAACACATTTATGTAATAACATTGCAGTGCTATTAGAAGACTTTCCATTTGTTATATATTCAAAGTATTCATGGTTTATTAAAAGTATCAAACCTTGTAGAAATATGTTTTAATGGTTGATGGTTGTATTTACAATTTTACAGGGACATGTTTTTTTTTTTACATCTTGTCCTACTGTACACAGTGTATTAAAAGCAACACATTAACAATTCAAACACAATTATACTGGTTATTATGTAAAAGTCAAACATATGTTATCCGTCACATGACATGCAGTTCTATACACTGTGGTCACTGTCTAACTCATATAATAGAAACGCATTAATATGCTTGCATTTAATGTAGCTTACCTTCTTTAGTCGTTTTACAAAGATTCTAGCCTGGCAACAAAACTGTACAAAATATTAAAAAGCCCTTTTTTACTTAATATGGTGTAATTGAATGCATTTGTGTTTGTGCATTTTAAAAGATGTTATATTTGAAATATATAGATTTTGTAAAAATATTATACATGTATTAAAAAAATAACTAATAATTCATTTAATTCTGGAGAGCAAAGCAATGAAAATGTACATCTGGATCTCTGTATGTCACAAATATCAGTTAACTTCAGCAAAAATCCTGCTTAATTATATACGGTTACGTTTTCAACTTTTGCTGTAAAATGAGGACTTACTGTAGACCAGCGGGATTGTTCAGGAGATGTTGGGGGAGTCCATCTGCTCTCTGTCAGGGGCAACTAACCGCTTGTGTCTCAGTTCTTCATGGTTTGGTCAGGTTTTATCCTAAAATTCTGACAGTTTGTGTTTTGTTGTCTCAAGTCCATCAATGATATCCTGTAACTGATTCATTAATTTCCTGATTTCAACAATGAATTTCCCAGCTTTTGACTTGATCTTACTTTCATCTACTTCTTCAGCTATGGGTTTTTCTGCTAGTTTGTTCATGTCGGCGACTGCTCTGCTATTTTCACTAACAGATCATGTCAAGCACAAGGCGGAACCCACCATAAATCTCTGCTATAGCTGCAATCAAACCCATATTTTGATTCATCTGCACTGTCAGTCCAGTAAGGTCTTCTAGCCGTATGTTACGGCGGTTAAAATATTTACTAAAATCATCTGCACCCTGCGCTAGTGTTTTAAAGTCTCTCACTATTTTCTCAGTGCGCTCATGAATGTCTTTCATCTTTTCAGCCATAGGTTTGATTTTATCCTGAAATTTCTTCAGTTCAGATTCAATGCCTTTTCTTAATGCTTGCACCTGCTCCTTTTTCTTAGAGCTGCAGATCGCACTTTTAATTCCAGCGTGTGTGAGAGTCGCTACTCCTGCAACAGCAGCAATAGCAGCAGAAGCTCCCAGAGTAAATGGAGCTAAAGCTATTCCTGCTCCTAACCCTAATCCTGTTAGCAGAGAAGCCCCTCCAATGATCCCCGCCACTCCTGCTTTTCTAGATCCTTCAGTAGAACCTCTGAAATCTGTTTCAAAGGTTTTGATGATCTTTCGTAGTTCCTCTGTGCACTGCTGGAGTTGGAGTTGATCTCTCTCATAGAGTTTCATAAATTCATCTCTGAGTTGAAAAACATCAGCTCTAGAGAAAAGAAAGATGCCGGGTTTATTCAGACTGTGCTTTGCAATACAATTTGAGTTTCGGTTAACACTTAAAGACTCTTCTTGCTATACTCTTGATTCTTGCTCTCACATGCACGAGTTCAGGAGATCTCTTATAAATACTGCCTCGTAATGTAATAATCACACTGTGGTGAAAGACCCAAATATTCGTATTCTTTGAATTAATGACATAATTCTTACATTTCAGGAGGTATCTCGATGCTGTTGCGTCTGCGGGGAAGACTGGATGATGCCATTGCTGCTGCGACTGAGAAAACACAAGTAAATACACCATCTTTCTTCATGTTAGAGTATAACCCCATATATCTTTTTTACAGTCACCCTTTAGGGGTAAATAAGGCACAATGGTTCTTTTGAAATGGTCCCAGAGAAAGCTTTTGCACTTTTATTCTGACTTTTGTAACTTTTTATCCTGTTTGTTTTTTGGTCAGATCAATACAGTGGCCTAAATCACACACATCATAAAAGCAGTGACAGAGTGTGTGATTTCTGCAAACACTGTGTTAATATGTCATATATTAATAATATGTAAAACACTTATATGTAATGCGTAAAACAGAAGAAAAAGACCCTCTAACAACTGCATTCTCTATTCTATCTACTGGTTTACTTTTTATCTATGATAAAAGCTTGCTACATGTACTGCTTCAGACGATGCTGTTGCTCTTGTGTTGCAGGATACGAATAAGTCAAGTCGATGTCTTTATTTGATTTGATTAATTACTGTATTATTAGTTTAACGAGGGCCTATCTCACGTGTATGAGGCTTTTATAGACCTGCATTCGTGCTCTGCGCTGTTAGTTTCGCTTTCACAGAACAGGGCTATTGATTAGAGAGAGAGAATAAGATATATGTGAACCATGACACTCAGGCAGTTAGTCTATTTTGAGTTTTAGTTACTTTACTTATTCCAAACGAAGACTAATTACAAACAGTTATTTTCCATTTTGGCCCGAGTGCGTGTAGTTTCGGTTTCGTTTCAGGTGTTTTTACACCTGCGTCGCCTCTAATGAATGACCCGCATGCATTACTAATGCAATGCATATTAACACATGATCACACACCAGCCCAACCTTAACCTTATCACGCAGTGCTGATCGAGCTCGAGAGTTCTGCGATGAAGCCGGAGAAGCGCGCGTAGACCGGAAGCAGAGCAGGCAGGTGTACACACCTGTGTTCCTCTTCTTCTTCTGTGTTTAATGGTGGATGGCAAACTAGCTTAAGGTGC